GATAATGGCTAAAGGTATAGCCGAAAGCGGTCGGAAATATAAAACATTTGGATAGTTCTTACACATCCTTTGTCCAGAAAAGAAAGCTCTTGTTCGAACACAAGAAAAATTAAATAAAAAGCTTAACCATAGTACCTTGTCTTTCGTTTTTAATGAAACATGCATAAACGAAGGATTGCAACCTAAATATATATATATATATATATATATATATATATATATATATATATATATATATATAATGATGAAAGCGGAGACTTTAGAAATCCATGGTAATAATTTATTTCGTAAGATCAATCAGATCTCGTCTCTTCAAACCATATTTTAATATATATATATATATATATATATATATATATATATATATATATATATATATATATATATATGACAGACCGTTGGTTCGCTCCGTTTCTCATTTTTAATTATTCCTCTTCAATTTTCCAATTGAGTGCTCCTTATAGAATTGACGTGCCTCATGCTCCGTGTCGAGCCGAAAGAAGATGGTTTCTATTAAGCCCGTAAAACAATGAGTCCAACATGGCGTCCGGGGCTCGAAAGAAGACAGATCGTCTGTAATAGTTTGGCTCCTTGATTTTGATTGTATTGATCTTAGACAATAGGTAGCTGGTGGGGGGGATATACAAATGGAAATTTGGAGTTGGAAGAAAAGCCGGTTTCACTAGACAAAATGATGGCTTCGTTTGCTAGGCAAACAAGCGTCGTAATCGTTATGCAAATGTGTAATTTGATTTTGAGATCATATACAAACAGATAGATCAAATAGACGGACAGATAGATAAATAGACAGATAGATAGATAAATTGAAAGGGATATTTGTTATACAGACAGGTATAAATAATTTAATGACCCGCGCGTTGCTTGTGGTAGCAGCAACGGACTTTTTGAGTGTGCAACGTCATTTATTGAAGATCGGTATGTGCCGTTTACCATCATGACTTGGACGGTCACGGCTCTCCATGATTTCCTGTCCTTTGTAGAAATCGTTTTACTGCCTCCTGAAATACGACCATGTTGCGCGTTCGCGTACCCCAGACAGCCAGATAAATGCCTTGTGGCAATCAAATCTCTGACGACAAAGTTCTGTTAATTAGTAGGTCTATTGGAAGTCAAATGGCTGAATCTAGAAAAATGAAACGAATACAGACTTGAGACTAGTTTAGTCAGAGTAACAAATTAAATATAGAGATAAGAAAGAAGGAAAAGAAGAAAGTTGGAAAAGGTACCGAAAGCTGAAGTGAGGCAGAGGGTTTAAATTGGTAAATAAGTTCGCAGTTAAGAGAGGGTTTCAGACTCAACAAAACCTTCAATCTGTCGATCAAAGGTCTTGCTACCGGACGTAGTTTATTGATATACCCACAGCTGGTAACAGAGAAAAAAATTGAAAGAAATAATTATTAACAATACATGTATATCTTCAAATAAATATAATAATAAAGATTTATATAATAAATGAAATAAAATAGATAATTGTGAATTATATTAAATTATAATATTACTTTATTACTTTTAAGCAATTATTTTATTGTATGTTAAATAATTACTTCAGAATCTTCGAGTATTTTTGGCTTAAACAATGATTTGTGTCTTCATTCTTTGTATCTGTCGCCTCATTGTGAAATTATCAAATATATATATATATATATATTAATTATCAAATCAAATTTAATTATCAAATATATATATATATATATATATATATATATATATTATTAATCATATATATATATATATATATATATATATATATATATAATATATATATATTTAATTATAAATATATATATATATATATATTAATTACATTTACCGGCCTGAATGTTCGAGAAATTTAGTAGAAAATATACGTTCTCTAACAGGAATCGAACCTATGTCCTATATCCTTGGGAAAGGTATGAATCCTTCTCTTCTCTCCCACCCAGCTAAGGGTAAAATAGCAGGACAGACCGGGTTCTATAGCCTTGGATGGCAACTGGTCTACCGGGGAAAGAAATGGCAACCTACTGCGGGAAAAAAATCTGCCTCGTCAGTCATGTATCGAAAGATACTTGATTGCCTAAGTGCGTATCACGCATGGTACCCGAATTGACTGACCCTTGTGAAAGGTATGAATCGTCTTTTTCTTCCCGCCCCCATCTATGTGTAAATAGTACGACAGACCGGTTTCTGTAGCCTTGGATGGCAACTGGTCTACTGCAGAAAGAAATGACAATCTTCTGCCGGAAAAAATCTGCCTCGTCAGTCATGTATCGAAAGATACATGATCGCCTAAGCGTGTATCACGCATGACACATAACTGAATAATTCACCGAGTCTAGAGACATCCTCAACACATATTTATATATATGTATATATATATATATATATATATATGAAGAAAAATATACAAATACGGAAAAACAAACAAAAATCCTAATATGCATAAATTATATGGATATAAAATAAAACATAGATTAAAATAAAATTCTTTTTCATTTTTCATTTAAAATATACTCTATTTTAGGAATACGTTTTCACAATATCACCCACGTGACGCCGACGTAATCATATTGTGAAACGGAACGCTGATCCTAAAAATTTCGGTTATTCTGTTTTCACTAGTCTTACTCTTATGTCCATCGTCTTTTCATGTTGAATTGAATATCGTCTAATGTTAATTATGTTTTATAAATATGTCCTGAAGAAGGTCTACTAGACCGAAACGTCTGACGTTGACATTAAATTAAATATATAAATATGTGTTGAGGATGTCTCTAGACTCGGTGAATTATTCAGTTATGTGTCATGCGTGGTACACTCTTAGGCGATCACGTATCTTTCGATACATAACTGACGAGGCAGATTTTTCCCGGCAGAAGATTGTCATTTCTTTCTGCAGTAGACCAGTTGCCATCCAAGGCTACAGAACCCGGTCTGTCGTGCTATTTACACATAGATGGGGGCGGGAAGAAAAAGACGATTCATACCTTTCACAAGGGTCAGTCAATTATGTGCCATGCGTGATACATGTTTAGGCGATCATGTATCTTTAGATACATGACTGACGAGGCATATTTTTTTTTACCCGCAGAAGTTTGCCATTTCTTTCTCCGGTAGACCAGTTGCCATCCAAGGCTATAGAACCCGGTCTGTCCTGCTATTTTACCCTTAGCTGGGTGGGAGAGAAGAGAAGGATTCATAGGTTCGATTCCTGTTAGAGAACGCATATTTTCTACTAAATTTCTCGAACATTCAGGTCGGTAAATGTAATTAATACTGTTTAATTAAAAAAAAAACCCCAAAAAACAACCAAAAAACAGAGCATTTACTTAAATAAATTTCATCTAATAAAATAACTTACAAAATGAAAATATATTAAATAATTGTCGGACTTTTTTTTAAAGAATTTCACCCCAAGCAAAGTGTGAGTGCCAGTAGCATGCAAGGGGTTACAGAGAGTGGGAGCAAGAGTAAAGAGGGGTGTTTGAGGAAAGGATGTAGAGAAGGACGGGGATCAGGGTCAAGGCGCCGGAAGATGCCGATTGACATTGCATTTGAATATTTGAAGATTAGGAAGCAAGTAGGAGGAAGAGTGTTCCACTGTCGGGAAGTGCGGGAGAAGAATCTGTTTGAGTAGAAGAGGCGGTTACATTTAACTGTTTCGACAGTGAAAGGGTGGGGCCGAGATGTCAGCCTAGTAGCACGCTTAAATTCATGCAGTCTGAGAACCAGCGATAGTAGCTCGTCGGAACAGTTGCCGTGAAAATACTTGTTGAAAAGGCAGAGGGAAGCCACAACTGGTCTGTGAGAAAGTGACTGTCGACGAGATGCCAGATCAGGACCTATCACACTGCATATCCGTCTCTGGATTTTGTCGAGGACCTCGAGATAACCAGCGAGGGCACGAGACCCTATATAGTAAAAGTATTCAATGCAAGGACGAATGGTAGATTTGAAGGATGGACTCAGGCGAGAAAAACCTTCTGGTGCGACACAGAGAACAAACTTTCCTTGCAGTAGATGCAGCTATTGATTCAATGTAGTTGTTCCACCTCAGGTCAGTGGAAAGCGTGAGACCAAGCAGGCGCAACGAAGTACTCTCGTGGAGTTGGTCATCATCCATTCTTATAGGAGGCAGGGAGGGTTCTCTATGGTGGATAAATTTGAGCTGTTTGGAAGCATTAAAGTTTACAAACCATTTCCTGCCCCAGTGAATCATAGATTGGACTTAATACATTTCTAAATATATTGATGAAAATTTAATTTATAATTGAAACAGTTTGAAGGAAGATAAAGATTTTAACTGAGGTACAGTGCGAACATCCTAACATGTACAATCCTTTTTTTCCGCCGTCGTAATGTAGCTTCCTTCTTTTTCAGGGCAATTGCTCTGATGAGTTTTCCTCCTTGGTGCTTTGACGTCTTAAATTAGGCGTACTGCTAGATTGGCAATTAGGTCTCACCAGTTTTGCCGTTGAACAAGCTAGATGCAACCGTATGTTCTATTCTAATAGTTTCTTTTCTCGCACTTCTTGCCTGTGGAACTCTCATCTTCCGGGTTTTTACTCCCCCCTCCTATAATCTTCAAAAATTTAACTACAACGCCAATCACCATTTTTGTTTTCTTGAATCCTGTTCTTTTATTGTCCTTTATCCTCACTATTGTCCTCTCATTTTCTCACTCCAAGTAATCACATGCATCTTAGTGACTTTATCACCTTGCTTGGGGCGAGATTATTTAAAACAATATTAACTTTCACACTAGTGCTACAACTGTGTATGAGCTTTAAGCTGAGACTTATACTGCGATAAGTTGCAGGATGATGAGAGTGCAAGCATATGTAATGATGCGGAAACAGATCGATAAATATATATATACATATATATATATATATATATATATAATGGCAGAGAAACACAGAGAAAAAAGATAGAAAGACAAAGAAAAAAAATGAGAGAGAGAGAAAGAGAGTGAATGAGTAGGATACAGAGAATGAGAATTAGAGAGAAAGAGAGAGGAAGAAACAGAGAAAGAGACTGAAAGAGAGAGAGGGAGAGAGAGAAAGAGACAGAGAAAGAAAGAGTGAGGAAGAGACAGCGAAAGAGACTGAAAGAGAGAGATACAGAGAATGTGAAATAGAGAGAGAGAGAAAGAGAGAGAGAAAGAAAGAGAGAGGAAGAGACAGAGAAAGAGACTGAAAGAGAGAGATACAGAGAATGTGAAATAGAGAGAGAGAGAAAGAGAGAGAGAAAGAAAGAGAGAGGAAGAGACAGAGAAAGAGACTGAAAGAGAGAGATACAGAGAATGTGAAATAGAGAGAGAGAGAGAGAGAGAAAGAAAGAGAGAAGAAGAGAAAGAGAGGAAAGAGACAGAGAAAGAAAGAAAGAGAGAGATAGAGAGAAGAGACAGAGAAAGAGACTGAAAGAAAGAGAGAGGAAGAGACAGAGAAAGAAAAGAAATAGAGAGACAGAGAAAAGACTGAAAGAGAAAGAAAGAGAATGAAAGAGAGAAAGAGAAAAAGAAAGAGAGGAAGAGACAGAGAGACAGAAAATAGAGAGGGTGGGAGGGATAGAGAATGAGAGAGAGACAGGAAAATAGAAAGAGAGGGAGGGAGGACAGAGAAAGAGAGAGAGAAAGAGTATGAAAAATAGAGAGAATGAGAAAGAGAAAGAGAGAAAGAACGATAAAGTGAGAAAGAGACAGAGAAAAGAAAGAGATAGTGAAAGAGAGAGGAGGTGAAATAAAACACAAAGCATAATAGATGGAGACATATAAGCTCCTTCCACTCAATGCGAGTGAGTGAGTAATCTGAGTGAGTGAGTGAGTGCGAGTTTAGGAAATCTCTGTAAGGAGGAGTGATAAAAAAGGATAGAAGAACAAAAGCGAGAGGGAGGGAGAGAGAGAGAGAGAGAGAGAGAGAGAGCAAACTGGGAGATGAAGAAAAGTAAGAAAGATTGAGAGGTAGAGAAAAACCTGTAAGGCGGAGTAATAAAGAAAGAGTGAGAGGAATAAAAGAGGAAGAAGAAAGAGAAAACGTGAGAAAGAAAGAGAAGAGAGAGAGAGAGAGAAAGATATATATATATATATATATATATAGAGAGAGAGAGAAGTTGAGAAAGAAAACCTCTAAGGCGGAGTAATGAAGAAAAGGAAGAGAAACAAGTGAGAGCGAGAGAGTGAGAGAGCAAAAGAAAAAGCGAAGGCGAAAGAAAATGGGGAAAAAATAAAGAAGAGATAAATAAGATCATTCAACACAGAGTGAGTGAGTGAGTGTGTGAGTGAGAGTAAGAGTGAGGGAAAGAAAACATGTACGGGGATGTGATGAAGAAGAAGAAGAGAGAGGAGGCGCAAAACAGAAAGCGAGTAAAGAGAAATAGTCCAAGCAGCGATGAAGTGGCGGACTGATACATAAAGAAAAACAGTGAGGGAGAATTCGAGAGAATTGTGACGAGAGAAATAACACACGACAGCGATGAGAAAAACAAAAAAATAAAAAAAAAGAGATTAGAAATGGGAGAATTCCTGGTGCAACTCTGCAAAGGCAAAGCGCAGATCATGAGAGTTTAGAAAATAAAATTCGCGCCAGTGTATCATGTTGACAAAGAAAGAATGTACTCCGTGACGCAAAATAGATCCAAAGAAATGCGCCATTTTGCAATCGCTCGTAAACTATAACACATCTTTTGTTTGTCATATCCGTACAAACCATTTAACCAAAATATATAACTTATCATAGAAGTAATAATAATAATAATAATAAAATAATGAAAGAAAAGACATTTTTTTATTCCAATGTTATTCAAACTTATACATTTATTCAAAGTAGAAATGTCGTTATTTTAAACAAATAAATATTTACTCAAAGTATATGGGTCTTTGTTTAAAATATGACCGTCTATTAAAAGTGCAAACACTTTATGTAAATTTAAAAGTTTCTTTATTCAATATATGAATACTGTTATTTGTTAGTATTTCTTTCATCTTATTTCTCTTGCTTTTACACCAAGTAATAATTGTCTCTGAATTTATGAGATGAAGCATTGTCGTTTATTCTTTACGCGTTTAAAAGCCGCAGTACGTGTGGACTTTTAAGATAGTCCCTATCCTGAATTCTGCAAGTTGTTTTCCATCCTGCCTAGGTAGCATCTTTGGCTCCAAATAAGGTTGTAGTGGACCATTATGTTGACTATTAGCTTCCCTTCACAAAATTACATCGGCGGTCACTATTATGTAGAGGACCCGGGGTGAAGATGTAAAGAAAACACGTCCGTTTATATTTCCTGTTAAATGAAGGTCTAGATACAATAGAATGTTGGACTTGGATTAAGTCCAATTGAAGGTAAGGAAGACAAACAAACATACAAGACCGATATATATATATATATATATATATATATATATATATATATATAAAATTACAGATAAAACCACTTTTACTAGACTAGGGGTGTCTGCGTGTTCATTATGTCTATATTTAGATGTATCAGTTATTTGCTACGGTTCAGAGGGGTAACCTTGGAAACATGAATTATAATTTTAGCTGTGTCTTTAAAACCCAGTAATTTTTAAAAAGCTACTCCAAAATTCGCTTGAGGATGAAATGGAACTAATGTCTTTAATTTAATTACAAAATTAAATTCTAAGCTTTTAGCTTCCATTTTTGAAACATGGTTAGAACTGTGTAGCGGAAAAACATATTTTAAATTTAATTTATCATATATATATTATATATATATATATATATATATATATATATATATATATATAAAACAAATATATGTATTAAACAAAACAATGACAAAGCACGTAGACAGATAACATTGTGCTTGTGTGTGTGAACGCTCGTATTTTGGTGAATGTTCGTTGTGAATGTTCGTACGTACGCATGTTGGTAATGTTCTTTAACGTCTGACCCCAAGGTCAAGACGATAATTTTCTGGGGTTACATTTTGCAGCAAGAACAGAGAAGAAAGAGAAGAGGAGGCAAACTCGTGTTTGTTTTTATAGATAACGTAATCACGTGACAGGATCACAGCGCTTTGGCGGGAACCTTGACTTAGTCACGCGCTGGAAAAATATATTATGCGTGGGTGGATTGCAAAGCCCACTTGTGTGTTCATTGGCCAATTAGAAGCTGATATTTTCTGAAAAGTATTTACTAAGCTAAGAAGACTCTTGGTATTCGATTCTCTCAAAAGTGCACAAAATCGACTATACGAAAATATAGCGATTTCAAAATTGTCGCATAAGCTAACAGCGTTGATTTCTATCCAATGAATGATTGTTATTGAAATTTGAATTTGTGTAGGTATGAATATATGTGTGTGATGATGATGATGATCGACACAAGGTCATTGCAAACAGAGTTATCGTAACTTCTGATGTCCTGGATGAAATGTTTTGATTCAGCTGTGAGTTCCCATCCAGAAGTGATAGAAATGGCTCTGGAGGAACTGGCAGATCTTTCATCTGTATTTTTCTTTTGTTACATCACATCCCGTCTGTTTCACCCTTGAATTTGAAAGCATTACATTGCATAGATGTGAATGATTTGAATGGTCACTGTCGCGGTTGTATTGAAAAGCTAACACGGACATGCTAATAAAGAAACTGCGCTCCTTTTAGCATGATTGGGATGAGCACTAATCTGTCTGGCATGTCTTTTATCAAGTGTTACCAAAACCACACTCTAAACACTTTCCTCTCATATCAATTTATTGTAAAAATTATAGTTAATAAATAAATTATAAGTATTTTAAAATGGGCAGTTACTTTTCAACTACCCTGTACATGTTTGTGTGGACATAATTACTAGAGACGGTGATATGTGTGTTTTATATTGTAGTCTTATGGAACACTGCATGATTTAAGAAATTTTCGGGTATTTTATGTATTAATATTAAATTTGGTTTGTTTGGTGTATTTTGTTTAACGGCAATTTTCAATGGTATTTTATTTTTAGGATAGATTCGTATGAATAGAATATGTATTCTTTGGTTTAAATTCAACCTCAATGGGTTATTTAATACCGTTTTTAGGATAGATTCGTATTTATGTATTATTTGGTTTAATTGGTTTCATTTTGTTTAACGGCATATCAACCTCAATGGGTTATTTAATGCCGACAACATTTTTAGGATAGATTCGTATGAATAGAATATGTATTATTTGGTTTAGATTGGTTTCGTTTATTTTGTTTAACGGCATATCAACCTCAATGGGTTATTTAATGCCGACAACATTTTTAGGATAGATTCGTATGAATAGAATATGTATTATTTGGTTTAATATTTGTTTTATGGGCATATCAACCTCAATGGGTTATTTAATGCCGAACAACATTTTTATTCATATGAATAGAATATGTATTCTTTGGTTTAGATTGGTTTCGTTTATTTTGTTTAACGGCATATCAACCTCAATGGGTTATTTAATGCCGACAACATTTTTAGATTCAGAATATATGTATTCTTTGGTTTAGATTGGTTTTATTATTTTGTTTATGAATCAATGGGTTATTTATTTTTTGGATAGATTCATATGAATAGAATATGTATTCTTTGGTTTAGATTGGTTTGGTTTATTTTGTTTTAACGGCTTATCAACCTCAATGGGTTTATTTAATGCCGACAACATTTTTTAGGATAGATTCATATGAATAGAATATGTATTCTTTGGTTTAGATTTTTGTTTATTTTGTTTTACGGCATATCAACCTCAATGGGTTATTTAATGCCGACAACATTTTTAGGATAGATTCATATGAATAGAATATGTATTCTTTGGTTTAGATTGGTTTGGTTTATTTTTGTTTAACGGCATATCAACCTCAATGGGTTATTTAATGCCGACAACATTTTTAGGATAGATTCATATGAATAGAATATGTATTCTTTGGTTTAGATTGGTTTGGTTTATTTTGTTTTACGGCATATCAACCTCAATGGGTTATTTAATGCCGACAACATTTTATTTCATATGAATAGAATATGTATTCTTTGTTTAGATTGGTTTGGTTTATTTTGTTTTACGGCATATCAACCTCAATGGGTTATTTAATGCCGACAACATTTTAGGATTTCATATGAATTATGTATTCTTTGTTGAGATTGGTTTCGTTTATTTTGTTTAACAACCTCAATGGCATAATCAACCTCAATGGGTTGTATTAATTGCCGTTTGTTTATTTTGTTTAACAACATTTTAGGATAGATTCGTATGAATAGAATATGTATTATTTGGTTTAGATTGGTTTCGTTTATTTTGTTTAACAGCATATCAACCTCAATGGGTTAATTTAATTTTAGGATAGATTCAATGAATAGAATATGTATTATTTGGTTTAGATTGGTTTCGTTTATTTTGTTTAGAATATCAACGTCAATGGGTTATTTGGTTTTTAGGATAGATTCGTATGAATAGAATATATTATTTGGTTTATTTTTGGTTTATTTTGTTTAACAGCATATCAACCTCAATGGGTTATTTAATACCGCCGACAATAGATTTTGAATAGAATATGTATTCTTTGGTTTATTTTGTTTAACGGCATATCAACCTCAATGGGTTATTTAATGCCGACAACATTTTTAGGAATTCGTAGAATATGTATTCTTTGGTTTAGATTGGTTTCGTTTATTTTGTTTAACGGCATATCAACCTCAATGGGTTATTTAATGCCGACAACATTTTTAGGATAGATTCGTATGAATAGAATATGTATTCTTTGGTTTAGATTGGTTTCGTTTAACGGCATATCAACCTCAATTTTTTTAATAAACAACATTTTTAGGATAGATTCGTATGAATAGAATATGTAATTTGGTTTAGATTGGTTTGGTTTATTTTTTTAACAGCATATCAACCTCAATGGGTTATTTAATGCCGACAACATTTTTAGGATAGATTGGTTTAGGTTTATTCTTTGGTTTTTGGTTTGGTTTATTTTGTTTAACGGCATATCAACCTCAATGGGTTATTTAATACCGACAACATTTTAGGATAGATTCGTATGAATAGAATATGTATTCTTTGTTTTCTTTATTTTGTTTAACGTTTCAATGGGTTATTTAATTTTTAGTTTCGGTTTATTTTTGGTTTAGATTGGTTGGGTTTATTTTGTTTTGCATATCAACCTCAATGGGTTATTTAATGCCGACAAAATTTTTAGGATAGATTCGTATGAATAGAATATGTATTATTTGGTTTAGATTGGTTTGGTTTATTTTGTTTTGCGGCATATCAACCTCAATGGGTTATTTAATGCAAAATTTTTAGGATAAAGCATGAATAGAATATGTATTCTTTGATTTAGATTCGTTGGTTTATTTTGTTTTAATATATCAACCTAATGGGTTATTTAATTTTTAGGATAGTTTGAATAGAATATATTTTTGTTTTTGGTTTGGTTTATTTTGTTTTAACGGCATATCAACCTCAATGGGTTATTTAATGCCGACAACATTTTTTTAGGATAGATTCGTATGAATAGAATATGTATTCTTTGATTTAGATTGGTTTGGTTTATTTTGTTTTACGGCATATCAACCTCAATGGGTTATTTAATGCCGACAACATTTTTAGGATAGATTCGTATGAATAGAATATGTATTCTTTGATTTAGATTGGTTTGGTTTATTTTGTTTTTTACGGCATATCAACCTCAATGGTTTTTAATGCCGACAACATTTTAGGATAGATTCGTATGAATAGAATTTATTTTTTAGATTGGTTTGGTTTATTTTTGTTTTTAGCATATCAACCTCAATGGGTTATTTAATGCCGACAACATTTTTAGGATAGATTCGTATGAATAGAATATGTATTCTTTGGTTTTGATTGGTTAGGTTTATTTTTGTTTTGCGGCATATCAACCTCAATGGGTTACTTAATTTTAACATTTTTAGGATAGATTCGTATGAATAGAATATGTATTCTTTATATGTTTATCGTCATAACCCAGGACAGTTTTTTAGGATGTTAAGAAAAAAATGTTTCTTTAATGTTGGTCGTTTCATTGGCTGGTTGGTTTTGCTTAGCGGTACATCAACATCCTTATGAGTCATTTAATGCCGAAATCTAAATAATCAATCACAGTTTTATGGCTTCAATTAAATATTTTCAAAGCCATTGTATGCTTTCACCTACAGATAAAATGTATTGCTGGTTATTTTGCTTTAAAATATATTGTTGGTAATTATACTATAAACTAGCCGAGAAGCCGCCCTTGGGACCGGCTTTAGGCTAGCTCCCATGGAAGGCTTTTGGGCCTTTGAACTTTTACATTCAGCGTCTTGTGTACGTGAAAGAATTTAGAAATAATAAAATCATTTTATCTTTATTCGACACCTTAATTCGACATAATCCTTCTTCGTATACGCAACCGATCTCCGTACATTTTTTTATATTTATTCTGCGCACAATTTTGATTTTTTTTTTTATATTCAACATTTTTTATTATCCCTGCAGGTAAAGTCACTTTTAAAAGACATTAGTAAAACCGAACCATGTAATACTTTGAATAAGTTACAGTACACGTTCTAGAAAAAGAAATAAAAGCATATGAGAAACGTACCATGCCAAGTTTTAATTACAGTTTAATTAGACGATACCAATTGCAGCTGCGACGAAAAGCGAAATTCAAATTAAAATATTTAATAAAGAAATTTTTTTAAACCTGTTTTTTTTTCACTGTGATTGCCATTTAAATTTAACTTTAAATTAGTTATTTATTTAATTTTTAATCGCGTGTAACTACAGTAGATAATACTTGTCACTTCAAGTTGCTGATGATACGTCGAGATCGCAAAAGGTTTGGACGGACGGACGGACACACGTACACTGCACTTTCTCATTATAAATAGATATGTATTGTTAGTCCTATTCCAATAGTTAGTGTTTTGTTCAGAGGTTCACTATTTGTCCATGATTGGGACCCGAACAGGTACTACCACCCCGAGTAAGATTGGACCTGCGAACAACAGCAATTAAAAGTTGATTCCACGATCCTCAAAACTTCCAATCTCCTGATCAGAGGCCATATTGCCGGATTTAGTTTATCGTCATAACCTGGACTACCTCGGCTCGAACCATGACCGCCAGAGCACATAGGGAATATATAGGTGTCACACTGGAAGCCGGTCACAGAGTGGACGCTTCATTCTGCGATGAAATTCGACGTTTGAAAAGTTTGATCTTAACGCAAAAGTGAACGCTGCGTTCCGATGGCTTGGCGGAAAATTCGTAGCCACAATTTGCAACAATATGAACACACGATTGCTAAGGTGTGATCTGTTCATTTATGTAGCTATTAGCTTCCTTGACCGTGTATAAATCCAACTTAAATCGACTCTGCGGCGATTGTCGACGCTGACGCGGTTTTCGCACCGGTTTCCTCGGCTTCAAGGATCGCCAGACAATTTTATTACAAGTCAAAGTGGTTTATTGAATGCCTCCTTGCGGTGGACAGCAAACAAAAGCTCAACAAACAGCCGCAGGTCGTGAACTGGGTGTTCTAATACCGTCATCATGGCGGGAGACTGGAGGCTGTAAAGCAAGTTAATGGGTGGAACACTTGATTAGAATGGAGTTATCTCCCTTGTTGTGTATGTTAACCGCAAGCAAGTTTTCTGTTTTCATAAAATAGACAGCTAGAAAGTGGAACAGATGAAGATATATATATATATATATATATATATATATATATATATATATATATATATATATAGATACGAGAGAAAACTGGAAAGCGATTAAAAAATGGGACACACACATTACACCCACATATATATGAACAAACTGGGATAGATAGATAGATAGATAGATAGATAGATATGAACAGACTGGGATAGATAGATAGATAGATATGAACAGACTGGGATAGATAGATAGATAGATATGAATAGAGTCGGATAGATAGATAGATAGATATGAACAGACTAGAAGATAGATAGATAGATAGATATGAACAGTGATAGACAGACAGATAGATAGATAAATAGATAGATATGAATATATTGAGATACATATGAACAGACTGAGATAGACAGATATGAATAAAGTCGGATAGATAGATAGATAGATATGAACAGTGATAGACAGACAGATAGATAAATAGATAGATATGAATATATTGAGATAGATATGAACAGACTGAGATAGATAGATAGATAGATATGAATAAAGTCGGATAGATAGATAGATAGATATGAATAAAGTCGGATAGATAGATAGGTAGATAGATATGAACAGAGTCGGATAGATAGATAGGTAGATAGATATGAACAGAGTAGGATAGATAGATAGATATGAACAGACTGGAAGATAGATAGATAGATAGATAGATAGATAGATATGAACAGACTGGAAGATAGATAGATAGATAGATAGATATGAACAGACTGGAAGATAGATAGATAGATAGATAGATAGATAGATAGATATGAACAGACTGGAAGATAGATAGATAGATATGAACAGACTGGAAGATAGATAGATAGATATGAACAGACTGGAAGATAGATAGATAGATATGAACAGACTGGAAGATAGATAGATAGATAGATAGATAGATAGGTAGATAGATAGATAGATATGAACAGACTGGAAGATAGATAGATAGATAGATATGAACAGACTGGAAGATAGATATGAATGTGATATGAACAGACTGGAAGATAGATAGATAGATGAATGAACAGACTGGGATATATTTGATAGATATATAAATATGATAGATATGGAGAGACGGAATGAATGTTTCGGACAAGTTTTACCGATTCATCGTTAATCTGACGAAATTAAACAGCCGCCTGCTAGGTCTTTTGGAAATACACTGTCGCAAATTTACTCGATCGCCATATTTACATTAAAGATTTTGTATAACAAACCCAGCCTCAAGATACAAGCATCGCATTCATTATTATTCTTTGCAAACCTCATGCTTTTAATGGTGATTCCGTGTTTCTCCTTTATGTGTTCATTCAAAATGTTTGTTAATCCGATTTAAATGATTCGTGACGCATATTTGCCATCTCGTGACGTATTTCAGTATTTGAAAGCAGACTGGAACAAGGTCATATAATAGATATTTGATATTTATGAACAACATCTATGGAAGATCATCTTCGAATAGATAGTTCATACACTTAATCTGACACAGAGATGAACAGACTGTTGATAGATTTTAGATAGATAATGATAGATAGATAATATATTGATATTTACAATTTACATTGTTCGAACTGTTGTAGATCATCTAGATGGTATCAAATTCACGACATTTAGACCGTTGTACGCTCCGGCCTTCTTCTATATCTGGAATATTTCTGAGATGAGATATTGATTATTTACACTATTTACATTGTTGACTGTTGGATATTCATGTTTATACCGTTGTACGCTCCTTTGTTCAGAAATATTTTCATTCTAATCTTGTTTATATTTTTAAATATGTTTACACTATTTACAACAGACTGTTGTCCTCATCTTCGATATTGACGACGAAGACCGTTGTACGCTCAATCTTCTATATCTGTCTATATTCTGAGATGGAGTAATTATTTAAATTTGTTGTTCAGACTGGATCTTCATAGACATTTAGACCGATTCATCGTTAATCTGTCTATAATTAAACACTATTTACCGCCTGCTAGGTCTTTTTCAGTGCAGATTTGGAAATTGTACACTCCGTCGCATCCTATTTAATTGTTCGTTGAGATATTTGACGTTTAAACTGTTTCCTTTGTTCTTCTATCGCCCGGACCTATTTACATTAAACGAAACCTTTTGTATAACAAACCCAGTATTGTGCTCAACAGTCGGAACTTCTTAATACAATATCATCTCAAATATAGACATTCATTATTTCGGTCCATTATTTGCGAACCTCAACAGTCGGAACAATGTTTTAATGGTGATTAGACAGATATAGTTTCTCCTTTAAACGTCGTGAATTGGCAACGAAGATGGGGACAAAATGTTTGTTAATCCGATTTAATACCTCATCTCAGAAATTTAGAAGATATTGAAGAAGGCCGGAGCGTACAACGCATAAACGTCGTGAACGAAATTTCACAGTCGGAACAATAAATAGTGTAAATAATTCTAATACATCATCTCAGAAATATAGACAGATTTGTACAATGGTTGAAACGTCGTGAATATGTAACGAAGATGAGGACAACATCCAACAATGTAAATAGTGTAAATAATTACAATACCTCATCTCAGAAATATAGACAGATATAGAAGACCATCGTACAACGGTCTAAACGTCGTGAATATTGGATGAGGACAACAGTCGGAACAATGTAAATAGTGTAAATAATTACAATACCTCATCTCAGAAATATAGACAGATATAGAAGAAGGCCGGAGCGTACAACGGTCTAAACGTCGTGAATATGGCAACGAAGATGAGGACAACAGTCGGAACAATGTAAATAGTGTAAATAATTACAATACCTCATCTCAGAAATATAGAACAGATATAAAGAGGCCGGAGCGTACAACGGTCTAAAACGTCGTGAATATGGCAACGAAGATGAGGACAACAGTCGGAACAATGTAAATAGTGTAAATAATTACAATACCTTATCTCAGAAATATAGAAAGATATCATGAAGAAGGCCATGGTCTAAACGTCGTGAATATGGCAACAAAGATGAGGACAACAGTCGGAACAATGTAAATAGTGTAAATAATTACAATAGCTCATCTCAGAAATATTCACAGATATAGAAGAAGAAGGCCGGAGCGTTTAAACGTCGTGAATATGTCAACGAAGATGAGGACAACAGTCGAACAATGTAAATAGTGTAAATAATTACAATATCATCTCAGAAATCAGATATATACAACGGTCTAAAACGTCGTGAATATGGCAACGAAGATGAGGACAACAGTCGGAACAATGTAAATAGTAAATTTACAATACCTCATCTCAGAAATATAGACAGATATAGAAGAAGGCCGAGCGTACAACGGTCTAAACGTCGAATATGGCAACGAAGATGAGGACAACAGTCGGAACAATGTAAATAGCCAATATTCTTTAGAAATATAGACAGATATAGAAGACGTTTCTAAACGTCGTGAATATGACAACGAAGATTTAGGACAACAGTCCGAACAATGTAAATAGTGTAAATAATTACAATAGCTCATCTTCAGATATATCTGGTCTAAATCGTTATGGAAACGAAGATGAGGACAACAGTCCGAACAATGTAAATAGTGTAAATAATTACAATACTCATCTAGAAATTTACAGATATAGAAGATTGTTCAACGGTCTAAACGTCGTTATGACAACGAAGATGAGGACAACAGAACGAACTTTAGTGTAAATAATTACCTCATCTTATTAGACAGATATAGAAGACGACGTTTGAACGTCGTTATGACAACGAAGATGACAACAGTCGGAACAATGTAAATAGTGTAAATAATTACAATAGCTCATCTTCTATATCTGTCTATACAACGGGTCTTCGTGAATATGATGAACAACACTCCGAACAATGTAAATTGTAAATAATTACAATAGCTCATCTTAGAATGTTCGGACGGCCGGAGCGTGTCCTCCTTTGCCATAGATGAGGACAACCATCCGAACAATTTAGAAATAATTACAATAGCTCATCTTAGAAATATAGACAGATATAGAAGAAGGCCGGGCGTACAACGGTCTGTCGTGAATATGGCAACGAAGATGAGGACAACAGTCCGAACAATGTAAATAGTGTAAATAATTACAATAGCTCATCTTAGAAATGTTCGGATATAGTTGACGAAGGCAAGCGTACAACGGTCTTCGTGAATATATGAAGACAACAGTCAACAATGTAAATAGTGTAAAATAATTACACATCTTAGAAATTTAGACAGATATAGAAGACGGCCGGGCGTCTTCGTGAATATCTGAGGACAACATATATCTTAGAAATATAGACTGAAGATGGGCCAGGGCGTACAACGGTCTAAACGTCGTGAATATACAACGAAGATGAGGACAACAGTCTCCGAACAATGTAAATAGTTAAATAATTACAATAGCTCATCTTAGAAATATAGACTGATATAGAAGAAAGGCCGGAGCGTACAACCGGTCTTCGTGAATATCTTCAACAGTCCGAACAATGTAAATAGTGTAAATAATGCTCATCTTAGAAATTCGACACAGATTAGAACCGTTCTAAACGTCGTGACAACTCCGGCCTTCTTCTATAAATAATTATAATGTCATCTATAAATTTCTGTGATGAGCTATCTAAACGTCTTGAATATTTAACAAGATTTACAACAGTTCGGACAATGTCTAAGTAAATAATTGAATGCTCATATTCACGATATAGAAGACGGCCAGGCGTACAACGGTCTAAACGTCATTATGACAACGAAGATGTACAACAGTCGGAACAATGTAAATTCTAAATAATATCTCATCTTATAAATTCTGAGATGAGCGTACAACGGTTGAAGATGAGGACAACACTTAAATTTACGCTATCTTACAAATATTTGGACTGTCTGAGACAACACTCCGAACAATGTTAGTGTAATATTCATCTTAGAAATATAAGACAGATTTACAACGGTCTAAACGTCGTGAATATGACTCAGAGGACAACACTTGAATAAATAGTGTAAATAATTCAATAGCTCATCTTAGAAATATAGACAGATATAGAATTCTAAACGTCGTGAATATGACAACCCAATGTAAATAGTGTAAATAATTACAATACCTCATCTCAGAAATATAGACAGATATAGAAGAAGGCCGGAGCGTACAACGGTCTAAATGTCGTGAATATGGCAACGAAGATGACAACAGTCGGAACAATGTAAATAGTGTAAATAATTACAATAGCTCATCTTAGAAATATAGACAGATGTGCGTATTCGTGAATATGACAACGAAGATGAGGACAACAGACCGAACAATCCACAATAGCTCATCTTTAGAAATTGAACAGATAAACGGCCGGAGCGTACAACGGTCTAAACGTCGTGATTTGAGGACAACAGACCCGAACAATGTAAATGTAATTACAATAGCTCATCTTAGAAATATAGACAGATATCCTTTCCCGGGCGTACAACGGTCTAAATGTCGTGAATATGACAACGAAGATGAAGGGACAACTGAACAATGTAAATAGTTAATTACAATAGCTCATCTTAGAAATATAACAGATATCCTGAAGACGGCCGGAGCGTACAACGGTTCGTCGTGAATATGGACAACGAAGATGAGGACAACAGTCGGAACAATGTAAATTCAACAATACCTCATCTCAAAATATAGACAGATATAGAAGAAGGCCAACAGCGTACAACGCCGTCTAAATGTCGTGAATATGGCAATAAAGATGAAACAACAGTCGGAACAATGTAAATAGTGTAAATAATTACAATACCTCATCTCAAAATATAGACAGATATAGAAGAAGGCCGGAGCGTACAACGGTCTAAACGTCGTGAATATGGCAACGAAGATGAGGACAACAGTCCGAACAATGTAAATAGTGTAAATAATTACAATAGCTCATCTTAGAAATATAGACAGATATAGAAGACGGCCGGAGCGTACAACGGTCTAAACGTCGTGAATATGACAACGAAGATGAGGACAACACTCCGAACAATGTAAATAGTGTAAATAATTACAATAGCTCATCTTAGAAATATAGACAGATATAGAAGACGGCCGGAGCGTACAACGGTCTAAACGTCGTGAATATGACAACGAAGATGAGGACAACACTCCGAACAATGTAAATAGTATACAATAGCTCATCTTAAAATATAGACAGATATGAAGAAGGCCGAGCGTACAACGGTCTAAACGTCGTGAATATGACAACGAAGATGAGGACAACAGTCCGAACAATGTAAATAGTGTAAATAATTACAATACCTCATCTCAGAAATATAGACAGATATAGAAGAAGGCCGGGCGTACAACGGTCTAAAATGTCGTGAATATGGCAACGAAGATGAGGACAACAGTCGGAACAATGTAAATAGTGTAAATAATTACAATACCTCATCTCAGAAATATAGACAGATATAGAAGAAGGCCGGAGCGTACAACGGTCTAAA